GGAGCAAAGGGGAACAGGGGAGACCAAGGGTGGGGGGCCAGCACCGGGGGCAGGCGGGATGGGACAAGGACCAGAGAGCTCTCTGCAAGCGTTCCTAGATCATTCCTCTTCCCTTCCTACCCACCATAAAATTCCGAGAGCCCAGGAGACTCCTGCCAGGAAAGAGAAATCAGAAAAAGATTGAGAAACCACTGCTTCAAGAAAGCCGGAGCCCTGGGGAAGAAGGAAACCTGCCAAGCACAGGCTTCGGCCTACCAAGGCCACAGGTGGGAATGCCAAGTGGACTGCAGCTTAGCCACCGGGTCTCCAAAGAAAGAAAAGGCAGATGAAGAGGCTGACCATCGCCACCGTTTCCCTCTTGGTAACAGAGATCCCACTGTATTTGAAGCAGCATGGCAGTGTGCCCAGTGGCTAGTTAAAAGACTACTTTAAAAATAAATAAATAAATAAATAAATAAATAAAAAAATAAAAGACTACTTTTCCTAATGGTGTGGAGCATGTGATCAAGTATCTTCATCATGAGATGGATATGTGCAGGACTTTGAGAAAGGCTGCTAAAAGAAATACATTCTCCAAGACCCCCATTATTCCTCCTTTCTGTTGTCAATATGGAAAGCAAGTGGGATGGCTGGAGCTCTAGCAGCCACCTTGAACCATAAGATGACCTTGAGGATAGAAGCCCACATTGAAGACAACTGAACAGGATAGGAATCTCTGCTCCAGGATGCTCTACCTCTGGACTGCTTTTACTTGAGAGAGAGAGGGGGGGTGGGAGTAAGGTGGGGGGGGGGACAGGCTGATGTGATTTAAACCACTGTTACTTAATTTTCCTCCGACTACCTTCATTATTCCTTCTCAGTCTCTGTGGTGAAATCTTTCACCGCCCCAACTCCTTTAAAGATATTGATGTTTCTTATAGATCCTTATATAGAATGGCACTCATCAACGAAAAGGAAAGACAACATAAGTGACTCTCACAGACATTATGCTAAGTCAAAGAAACCAGACACAAAAGAGTACATCCTGTATTTTGTTATATGAAGTCCTAGAATAGACAGAATTAACTTGTGGTTGAAATAAAAAAAATCAAAATGATGAGTTGCTTCCGGGGATGGAGCAGGGACAGAACTGACTCGAGTAGGCACAAGGGAGCTTTCTGGGCTGGTGGAACTGTT